GCACTCCTCTACCCGCCCTGCGCGATATGCCTTTCTGATCAACCATCCAGGCTGTCTTGTGCTGGAAATTTGTTTTACTTTGTCTTTTTGTGGGTTCTGCTGATTTAGAATTTGTGTAGAGCCATTTTTTTATGGGTATTTGGAGGGGTTTGGGTGACAGCTCAAGCAAGTCACTGTTTTCATGTGGCCATCTTAGCTCCACCCTACACTGAATCATTTCAATATCATCCCTTACCCTCTCCTCCTTTATCCCAGTCTCTGAGAAAAAGTGATGCTCTTTCTGTAAATTCCAGTCCTACTTTTTTTTCCTAACCCTGTAATCACCTGTCTCCTCAAAGAGTTTACACCTTCAAACTAATCTTCTGTTTTACTAATTTTTGATCTCTCTGTATGCACTGACTCCTTTCCTAATCTGTAAAATCATACCTATGTCTTCCTTTTTTGATCCCTAGTTACTGCTTAACAATGCTGACTTTGGATTGTTCCTTGACAACCATCTCATTTTGGGTGTCAGGGTTCTCTTTTACTCCATGTAGCCCAGAGTCCAGGGGAATCTCAAATTAAATCCCTCAGTGATTACACACGGCAGCAATGCATCATGCGTGAACGAATTAAGTATTCTTCTTTATAGCTACATCTTATTAGAAGGATGTTCATGTCTTTGGCACCAAAGAATCATTTTTCAATCTAATTAATTTTTTATTGTACTCATTACCAATCCTTCCATATTGCTAGTTCACATTTTTATTCTAAACAAATAAACAAACAAGCAAAATAAAAACCTAAATGATAGCATTTTTAGGCCACACCTCAGTTTAATATTTTACAGAAACACAGTGAGTGGTCCAAATGTACCTGAAAATCCCTAGCAAGCATAACTTCAATTAGATTTCTTTTTCTTATCCATCATAAGTAAAGCTTGTAGGGTTCAAATCGCATTACTGGTGTGTATTACATTTCCAGCAGTGAAGTAAATTGCACTGGTTTTTGTCCTCATAACCCAACATAGCATGTTATAACATTCTTGAACATGCCCTCCCTCACCAATCAATTTCACACTGAGCCTGAAATGATATGCACTTGAGATGACAAATATGGTTTATATCCCTTTCTTGCCCACCAATGTTAAACTTCATGAAGGTAGAACATTAGAGGTAATGTTATGATATGCATTTTTGAGGGGGGACCAGATGTGTGATTTCATTGGCATAAAAAAATCTTCTCATGATAAAACACACTTTACCAATGCAGACTGATGTCTCCTCTGTAACTTTTAGTCTGTAAGAGTTTCCTGAAACACAGAGAGGTTAAGTGAGTCTCCTAGGGCCATACAGCCGGTATCAGGTATAACCTGAACCTAGATATTCCTAACTGCAAGGCCAGTTCTCTATCTCCTTGCTATGCTATATTGCCTGTCACATATTTTACTATAACAATAATAATGGTTAAAGAAGGGAAGGAAAACAGATCAGTTTTCTAGAATTCAAAGTAACATCATTCTATTTTTGTAGGTGGATTTACTAAGTAACAAGTCCCTTCATAGAATACTGCATTATAACATGATGCTTTAAAATTTACAAAGGGCTTTTCTTATAACAACATTGTAATGTGGCAAGTATTATTATTCCAAGCTTACAAATAAGGAAACTGAAGCTCAATGTTGTTGCAGGATTTGTCCACACTCCTACAGCCAGTAAGTATGTAACCTACTTGAAGCCATTGGACTGTACTTCTCCCAATCTTCAGACATCTTTGTATGTATATAGGTGCTTCATCATTGCTGCGATTTTCAATATTTTTAACATTTTCTCTCCACCTCTGTCCACCAACACTTAGGGATGACTGTTACCATGGAGAGCAATGATAATCGTGGGAGCTATCCAAGTGAGGCAAATTTAGTGAAAGCTAGAAGGAAGGGACAGCCACACATGGCTGTGCATTAAAAACAAAGGCATACAAGTGCCAACAGAATGCTGAAGATTTTTTAAAAATCATTAAATATTTTCGTGAAAATTTTTTAATTTAACTTCTCATTAAATTTGACCTCTAATGCCTGTCATTGGACCTCAAATCTCAGTAGCCCTTGAGAGCCTTTGTTGATCTTGATTTTCACCCTATTTCCTCTCCCAAAACTCCTTTCTGCCTCTGTTACTTCCACTCCGTGGCCCCTCCATTGTGGTTGGTTTTCTTTTCTTTGCTTTTCTTGTTTGTTTGTTTCTGCATGGTGGTTTTTTTTTTTGGCTAGGCAATGGGGTTAAGTGACCTGCCCAGGGTCACACAGCTAGTAAGTGTCAAGTGTCTGAGGCTGGATTTGAACTCAGGTCCTCCTGACTCCAAGACTAGCACTCTATTCACTATGCCACTTAGCTTCCCCTGCATGATATTCTGGTATCCTTCCTGCACAGGAACTTGGTGACTGAAGTTTATCCCAACTCCCTCAAACCAAGAAGGGTCCCCCCTATGTGGTATAACCTGAGCAGCCACAGTCCAGGACTTCACCAAAGGGAAGATGTGAAAAGTAGAAATACATCTTTCACTTGCTTTTGTAATTATTATCCTTCCTCATTTCACCCACTTCCTCTTCATAGGCAAAAGAGACTTTCCCACTGACATTGTTGTAATTCCATCATTTCCTTCGGTCAACTTCAAATGCCTTTTAAAGATTAGCGTCAAATCCTGTTTCCTCCATAAGTAACATATTAATGAAAGGGAACATAATCCAAATTTATTCCAAAGTCAACAACTACTACACATTTTGTCATCATCTTTGTTAGTCTTCTTACATCTGTACCTTACTTATATTTTCCCCTCTCTTGTACTGAGCAATCTTCTCCATGAATTAAATTTTATTTGAGAATAGTTTTAGTCTGGAGTCCTACCAAGGATACCCTACTCTCTTCTTTTTATGAAACTTCCATTCATTGTCATAATATTTTGTTGCTGACATACACACAAAAAATTGTCATAGGATATAACCTAAGAAAAGTAAAGTGTTTGACTACCCACAATTTATAACATTATTTCACTACCTCATACCATAATGAAATCCCTCCTGTCTTTTTCCAAGTTCAGAATTTATACTTTTCCAGAAGAAATAGTATAACATGACACTGTCACCAGAGTCATTTCAAAAGAAGGACACAGAAAGCTATTTCAAACAATAGGCTAAGAGTTGTCTTTCTACCATTTTAGTTATATAATGAGCTTATTTCAACTCTATCCAAACCTCAAAGATCTGAGGCCAGGAAAAAACAACACTGAAAACACAAGACATTTAACAAAACACAAGGTATAATGGAACATAAATTAGACACATTCTCCTCTTATTTCTATTATATTCCTTTTGCTTATATTGTAAAATTGTCTTTCACATGTGAGGATGGTGCTATTTACCCAATATGAAAAAAGCAGTAGCTTTATTTACCCAGTAAGAATAAAGCAGAATTTGCACTGATCCATCAATACTTTCTCATCAGGCTTCCACTGTGACCAGTGATATACACCTGCAGGGTGTTAATGTTCTACATTGAGTTGTGATTATACAGTAGAGTCAGTTGATCCATAAGGTGATAAAGCTATAACCTTGGCATTGGATTGGGGTTCTAGGGTAGGTGCTAGGTCACTAACAGTGAAAATTATGTCTTGTTCATTTACTCATGAAGGTAGTGCCTTGATAAAATGATACTCTGTCCCTCTATTATGTAATACTCTCATTCTTCCTCATAGAATGGATAGTTGGGTAGATGGCTTATCTTTCTTACTAGAGACTAAGTTTCTTGAAAGCTCGAATGGTATTTTATTTATGTAACTTCCTCAATACCCAACACAGTGTCTTGCATATAATGCATGCTCAATAAATATTTGTTGAATGAATGGTCCCAGTGGGGCCATTTTCAAAAGAAGGGGAATTAAGTTTAACTTGCAAACTAATTGCTCCTTCATGGTGCTAATGTGAATAGTTAGGCTGCTGTGGGCTATATGCAGAATGAGGGAAATGTTCTACAACTCATTGAGGGTTAGGAGAAAAATTTTTAAACTGCAGTTAAAGAAAGGCATCTTCTTTAATAACTAGGACTATATTAGAAAAATTAAGATCATATAACCCAAACCTAAATTTACCAATTGATCAGAATTAGGAAATTAGTTATACTGTGACCTGACACCCAGAGTTTTCAACACAAAAACAAAAAGGTGGTTTACAATACATAGAGGAAGATGAGTAAGAATTCAATTTAAAAATAAGAGAAACACACAATTTCAGTCCCTTACATATTGATAACAGAATAGCTCACCAACATTTAGAAATCTTATGGAAATTGAAATAATAAGACTATTGAAAAGCCTGCATTGAAATAAAGGAATTAACTCTATATTATAGTGTGTTAACAAATAATCCACTTGTCTTTCCTTATTGTCTTTTTCAAGAAACCATATGAATCAATCTCTGCAAAACAAGAGGGTTTTTTTTTAACTTCTATGTCTTTCCAGCAGACCATTCAGCCACTGCCTTGTTATGGTATAAGGAATTCAGTTTAATAGCTTAACAAAAGCATTAATGAAGCAATTTGTTCATGTTTTCCTTATTTTCAAGATCAATTGCCCCTGGGTTCAGGGTTGGAGGAGGGTATCATCAAGTTCTTCCTCTCTGAAATCACATCTAACTCACTTTGAACAGGAGTGATTAACAAAATCATCTGCCATCTCAATATCCAATTTCTTCTCTTTTTTTTTGGCGGGGGGGGTGTTTAGCAGTTTGTCACTGCCATCCTGTTATCATTTATCTCAATATTTTAAAGGAAATAGCTCCAAAGTTGGCAACTGATACTTCAAAGAAATCTAAGTACTCAGCTATTCCAGGCTGTAGCTATTCATGCAGAAGACGTTTTTAATTGCCCATCAGAAAGGGTAAAAACAAAAATATTCCCTAAGAATGTCTTTAGTTAAGCAACATAAATATGATTATAAGAAAGATGAAGTCAAATTTTTATATTGCTACAGACCTGAGGCCATAAAGGACAGTCCCATCAGGATGCAGACGGATCATCCTATTCTTGACAGTCACCCCATGCACAAATGACTTCTTGTCGTTCAGGAAGTATGTGTCAGGCACCCAGAGTTGATCTGCTACTCTATTGTCCAACGTGAGATTTAAAGGTATTACATTATATGACAGCCTCTTATCTCGCCAAGCTTGCTGAAAGTACATTGTCAGGGTATAGTCCTGTGATTGGGAGAAGAGAAAATTATTATTTGCACCAAAATAGACTTTGGAAATAGGCGGACAACTCTCTGTGTATATAAAATGGAGTGATGCTGAGAATACCTGGTACGACTATGAGGTAGAACTGTTTGTACTCCCCCATTTATCAATAATTATAACAACAAATATACATCGAACATTCTAATACCATTATTGCAATTTCACAACTTTCCTTTCTCCTGCTGATCATCACCAGAGAAGAATTATTTGGGTTCAGTCTCTTTAAGGTTGCAGAGCAGAAAGTCAATGTGTCCTCATGTGTCTGAGTTCTTTTCTCTTTAGTTACCACTTGACTGTATGTATTTACTGAGTTCCTTTTCTACATTTGCTAATGAAATTGATAAGAAAGATGAGGTAGGTGACACAGTAGATTGCACATTGGACTTGGGGCAGGAAGATCTGAGTTTAAATCCAGCTTCATACATTTACTAGCTCTGTTACCAAGACAAGTTATCTTATATCTACCTCAGTTTCCTTATCTGTCAAATGGGGACAACAATATCACCTACCTCACAAGGTGGTTATAAGGATAAAATGTAATAAAAATTGTAAAGTGCTTTGCAAACCTTAAGATGCTATAGAAATGCAATGATGATGATGATGACAATGATGGACAGTGCCCTGGAACTAGAGTACAAATCATAGGTTCATCTTACCTAAATCCTGTCTGCCTTAGTTCCAAACCTCAAAACATTCCATAAATGTATCCTAGATTTTACTAAGCTATGTGGCACTGGGCAGGTTATGCCACATCTTGAAAGCTCAGTTTTCTCTCACATAAAACGAAAGCAACAATACTTTTATGACTCCTCTAATGATGAGTTAACATGTGAAATATACAAATAAATGATTATTAAAGATGATAGATGAAATAAAGCATTTTTGAAACCATGGAACATATTCTTAAAGTTATGTTTTATAATTTTCCCCCTTTCCCCTCAAATCAGAAATGTCTATGTTTGATCTCAGAGTAAGTCTAATGCCTTCTGAATTTAAAACCTAGTTAGTCCTGTTTATTCTAGAAAAACAATGAAAGCAAATAAAACATCAAATTGTTAGGGTTCTTTAAGCAACCATGTGTATGCTTGACTGAAATAATTGGTTCTCTTAATGTTTTAGGTTCTCTTATTTTTTAGTATATAGATATTCAGATTCATTTTTATCTTTTTGTTCTTGTTGATTTTCTTTACTTTTGCATTCATTTAACATTCATTTGCAAATATATTCCTCTCCTTCCTCTATACAGTGAACATTTCCTTATAAAAAAGAAAATGAACAAAAAATTCACTCAAACCAACTGACAGATCCTTCAATAGCATCTGTCAGTGTATGCAACATTCCACATATGTTGGCCCTTCTTCCCCAATGAAAGGAAAGAGATCAATTCTCTTAACCCTTTTCTGTGGCCAAGATAGATCTTTATAATTACACAGTATTCAGATTTATTCAATTGTTCTTTCATTTTTATGATACTATAGTTGTATATGCTGTTTTTCTGTTCCTGCTAGCTTCAATATGCTTTATATTTCATATTTGTTATTTCTTATGGTATAGTAATATTCTAAATTTGATGTAGCATTTCTCAATCAACTGACACCTACTTTATTTTCAGTTTTTGACTACCACAAAAAAGTGATGCTATGCCTAATCTGGTATATAAAGGAACTGTGTCTTGCAGTGGGTCAGTGTACATGGACATTTTATCAACTTTTTCTAAAGCTTAATTCCAATGGTTGGAAGGTTTGGAACAATTCACAGCTCCAATCACAGCACAACAGTGCATTATGTCTGCTGTACTTCCATATTTTTAAAATCCTCACCAATTTCCTATGTGAGGTGAAACATTCCAGTTGATTTAGCTTGCATTTATCTTATTCGTGATTTATAAATAGCATTTCATATAGCTATTACTGATAGTTTTAGCACTAAATTCGTCTACACATTTCCAGAAATTGTGGTTGGTTTACAATTCAAAATATTAAAAGAACAATATTCCAGAAAATATAAAGAAAAAATTACAAATAGACATTTTATGAGGAATTTAGAAGACAGAAACAGAAGACACAAGAAATAAAATAAGCAGATATTTTTCCCTAAGAAAGAAGTTACTCAATTCCCTTTCTTGGCAATAAGTACTTGGAAAATACAATTATTCTTTCTGCTAGGAGATACAGCCATTAAAGTGACTTTGATTATGGGCTCTTTAGAGACTCAGAGAAGTGATTGTTTGGAAGGTGTTGAGCTCTATCTATTAGGCCTTGAAATACCTTTCAGCACCAGAAATGAAATCGAACATTTAATACACTGTTAAATGAATAGTAATGTACTGTGATTCAAACTTACTTGATAATTTTTAATCATTTTTCTACCAAGACAATACGCATTCAGATACGCTCCCGGAAAAGGATGTCAGTTATTCTGTGAACTGATGCATCGATTTTTGTTTAATTTTATTTTATTGTTACATATTACAACATGGTCAGTTAAAGAAATGGTTTCTTCAGGGAATACAAATAATCTCAGAAGAAATAAGTATCTCTTAATCTATTCTTCTCATCTTTACCATCAACTATCCTAACTGAAGCCTTTTTCTTAACTAATAGTAAGGGGGAAAAATGAGATCTCACCCTATCAGGAAGCTGTCACAGTATGGGTTTATTCAGATTAAAAATATTTATAAATACAAGATTCAGGATCTTCATGGCCCATGTCAGATCCTTGCAAGAAGATTTTTTTTTTGTAACTAAATACAGCAGTCTATTAAGTTATGGGTTTAGGAAAGTAAAAATATTTATTCGATCAACAAACACCTCCTCCCCCTCAAAAAAAAACCTAAGCAAAACAAGATTCTTTAATTGCTGTTCTGAAAAATTAGTTATGCCAATCTTCTCCTCTGTATTGTACTTTTGGAAAAAATGTGGATTATCATTAAAGACTTTGTGAATAATTAGCTATGTATCTTTTATGTAGTAACCTCTTTTGTGACTATTTCCATTCCAATCCAATAAATATTTATTAAGTGCCTACTACATGCCAAGTACCATGCTAAGTTCTAGGGATACAATGAATAAAAATAAAACAGTCCCTAATCTCAAGGAGCTCATACTCTATTTAGGAAGAGACAACACACAAAAGGAGGCAGGAAAGTGGTAGGTTGGTTGGAGGAAGATATCAGGGAGGACTCAGCACAGGGATATCTTGTTCCATGGAGTTTAAACCAGGCAGAGCAGCAGATGCTAAGTGGAGTGAGTTGAATGTCCAATTTCTGCCCTCCTTAAAGGAAGGCACTGGGAAGAGTTTGTATATTCCATCCTTCAGCTCTCCAAGCAGAGAGGAGAGGATGCTGAAAGAAATGTCAATCAAGGCTTGAGTTTCTTCATCTAAGGTCCCTGCGAGCTCTTCAAAAAGCCTATTAAATAAAAACATTCAACTCAATAAAAACCTCCACTTTTTGGGAAGACATTTTTTCCAACCAGTGTTTTTTTTTTTCAACCAGTATTGAAGTCAGACTTTGAAACTGCTTGTAAAGAATTAAAGATGAGCATCACTCTGAGGCCAATGGAAGGCACATGGTGTGGATGAGCCCACACCTCCTCATCCTAGCAGATTCTTGACCATGTTTGCTAGAATTCTTACATAGACAGTCCCCTTGTCCTCTCTCTTCCCCTCCTCCCATGTTTCTGGGGGCTTCCCACTTTCCCTCTAGCTCTCCTGAAATAACATAAGTACCAATGATTCATACAAACTGTCTATGTGTTTCTATAGTTCTCTCTATAAGATGAGGCCTTCTTTCTCCTTTTCTGGTCAAACATTCTTTAGAAGTTCTTTTATGCTACTTCTCATGAACATCTTTTGGCCTATTTATATCTATCATGAATTTTACCACTTTCCTTCAGATAGCCATTTATTTGGCAATTAATCATATACTGCCTTCTGACATTTTTTGTTTGTTTGTTTGGCTAGGAAAGGGGGTTAAGTGACTTGCCCAGGGTCACACAGCTAGTAAGTGTTATGTGTCTGAGGCCAGATTTGAATTCAGGTCCTCCTGAATCCAGGGTCAATGTTCTATCCACTGCACCACCTAGCTGCACCCAACTCCTATAATATTTTTAAAGCTTTGTTTGTATCTATTGTCTAAGAATAATAGAGGAAGGGGATAAACATTTATGAAGTACTTACTGCATGCTAAGCACTGTGCAAAAGTGTCTTACAAATATGATTTCATTTGATGAATAAGGAATGATTCCTGTCCTCATGGAGCTTATACATTAATTAGGGAGAAAATACGCACCTTCTTGTATCTATCACATCCCCCCACACAATGCTGGATACTCAAAAATATTAGTTAATTCATTGGTCAGTGTTCCTAATTGCTTTATTGCTTCACATCTTTGATCACCTAATTCCCTTTGCTGACCATCTGGATAATAGTTCTTTGTATACCTTTGATTCTAGGGACACCCATGGATGTCCTACACATCTTAAACACCTTCACCTCTCCAGCGTCATTCTTTTAATTTGCATTGCTTAATACTGCCAGCGGTGAAAGGGGGAAAGTCAGAATTCTGACACTGGAAAATGAAAGCCTCAGAAAGGAATCACAAAAGCTTATAAAGTCAAGACTTTTGAAAATGTCTAAAATATTCTTGAATATTCCTGTTTTTACCCCCAAATGGCTTCATGCTACATACCTCTCTTAAATCATGGGATGATTTACTCATTCTAAACTAGAACTATTAGAATGTGGTGGAGGAAAATTGAAGACCTTCCTATTAGAAGTTGTAGCATTAGATGTTTAATTGCAGCACCCTAGAGGAAAACTGGTAGCAACCTTGACACACTGGTCCAGCTAAATGTGATACTTATGAACAGCACAAGTTGATCATCAATAAAGGAAATCTAATTTCAGACTTATTTCTATATTGCTTTCTTATATGGCAGACTAAGCATATATCTGTAAG